GGACACATGAAACCTAATAATGATCTATGTCTTCACATTAAGGCAACATACTATGAACTAAAAATCTAGCATAAACCCTAGCAAATTTTGAAATCTAGAAATTAAGATTAAGAGTTTACATACCTCAAACTTGTTATAGCAAACAAGTTTGATTGCTTCATTTGTTGAAATTTCGAGAATATATATATATATATATATATATATATATATATATATATATATATATATATTCGAAAAACATCATATTCATTATAAATAATTTCAAAATTTCTTACGTATTCAAAAACTTCAAAATGCTTTATATCGGGAAAAACAATTTGAAAATGTAAAAAAATAAAAATAAAAATAAGACTTTGTTTTTCGATAATGTTAGATTTCGAACAATATAATTAGTCTATGATTTTGAAAATTGTATGATTATTATATAATATTTCTTTTCTCTTATATAGTGTTTTCGAACAATATGGTTATAACCGGTATAAGTTGAATTGGCCGGATACTGAATATAAATTTTAGCCTAAAATGATATCGGGTTAGTGGATTCGGGTAAAGGCGGGTAAAAAGAACGGTATCTGGAAATTAGAATGGAATCAATTTTGGTAAATAGTTATTGGGTTGGAATGAAATAACATGTTAGTGACTTAATTTTCTTACTTGCATATAATGATATTATACCTAAATTGAAGTACTAATTATAAAAAACTAAACAACTTTCATTCAATATGAAACTATAACATGAAAAGCTCAATTTTTTATCTTTATACCCCAACTTGGGGAACTATAACTAATATGAAACTAAAAAAATGATGAAATATAGGTGACATGGTGGCATGAAGATACCCCGTTTGCATCATTGTCGTTCTAAAAAAAATACATGTTGGAAAGGATCTCATATCAATCTAATTTCAAACGAATAAATATTGCAATTTTTAAAAGTTTCATAGATTACACATTACCTGTTTTTTCAAGGTTTTATGGATTTTCTGATTGTAGACCCACTTTACATGGTTCCACCCTACCCTATTTGACATTTTTGAGTTTTCCAGTTTTAGACCCATTATACTCGGTTTCATATCAGGAACCGAACTGGAATCTATATAACAATCCCGTTTCTGGTTCTACTAAATCCTGTTTTCCAATTTCAGAGTCCATTTAGATTGAGTTTGGACCCAGTTTCACCCCTAATTGGTATACATAACCCATTTGGAAATGCTACATTATTTTTTTGAAGTGGAGAAAAAGATGAACTCGAAGTTTTGATGTAAAAAAAACAAAAATCATGTGCCCCACGTCCAAGTTCCTGAACGAAACATATGATATACTTCCCTATAGTATATAGAAGCCACCGTCAAACCATCTCTTGCACTTTTCAATGCGTTTCCCTTTATTCACGCTCCAGATTTCATACAAATCCCACGCCTTTCTTATAATCTCTTTCCCTTTTTTCAATCCCTTTTCTTTCGCTCTCTGAAACCATATGACATCTCCAAAATCATCGTACATAACACCTGAAACACCAAACACAAACCATTTTCCAGTTCCCACTTACTCCCTTTTCCGGTTTTAGTTTCTTCAGATCTGGGACCTCAAACCCTTTTCCCTTCGCCCAAATTAAACAATCTTAGAACTGGGTTTCCTCCTTACCTCTAAAGAACCAAAGATTTTAGGGTGCGTTTGGTACAGAGAAATGGAATTGCAACAGAGAATGGAAATGCAGAGAAAGAAAATTAAGCTAGAGAAAGAGAATTGATTACACTATTTGGTAGAACTGAGAATCCACTAGAGAAATGTTGTTGAGAATCATTTCTCTTGTTTGGTTGTATTAAGCAGTGAAATGGAAATGTTTTTTTACCTTGTTTATTTCCTTTTAAACAACATTTTTTTATAAAGTTACAAATAGATCCAAACTAAAGAAATATTATCACACCACATAATAAATACAATATATCAACAAGAAAAATGAAATAATAATATAGTTGTTCAATCATTAAACATAATATCAACACCACATAAAGAATAATGAAGTTTACATAAAAACATGGAATAAATTAATTGTTGGCACGCCTTGCACTCCAATCAGTAAACATAGTATTAGCAAGAAGATCTCGACGGTCACTCCATCCTTGCGATGTCTCTACGGTAGAAATAATGTTGTCATGTTCATCTCCAAATTGTGTGTAATTTGCTGGGATTTCTTGATCAAGGGGGTCTTCGGTCATGGTTGTACGTATGAAATTATGCATCAAACAACATGCAATGATTATGCGTGGCATAGATTCTATTGGATGGTATGCATTATCACGTAAAATATCTCATCTAGATTTGATCAATCCAAAACATCGTTCTATTACGTTCCTTGCTGATGAGTGTCTCATGTTATATAACTCTTTAGCATTTGTAGGTGGTCGAGACCAATCATTAAGATGGTAACGTTGTCCGCGATAAGGTGTTAAAAAACCTTCACCGTGTGGTCTACTAATAGCATCTCGGAGTACTCGACTATCTGCTGCGGAACTCTCCCATCCCGCTAGTACATATATAAATTGAAGATCTCTCGAACACACTCCCAGTACATTAGTACAAATCTCACCCTTGCGTGCTCGATAAGGTTTTCTCTTACGGCGGATATCATAACATTTTGTCTATTTCGTACAATCCGTTGTTGCAAAGGTGTTCGTGTAATCTACATATATACAAACAATAAAGAGTTAGGACAAAAAAAAACTAAAAAAATAATGCTTTAATATATTACAAAAATCCTAACAGCCACTGTTTGGAGTTGCATAACTCAGCCAAAACCAAACCAAATAAGTTGTTTCTTGAGCCTAATACGTAGACAAGACAGAGGACTACAATCGAGAAAAAATATCACCTCATTCCGAGCTCGTATGAAGATTTTATAACGTTTCAAAGTTGGATAAAAAAGCTAAAAAAAATGCTGAAATATTGTACAAAAGTTCTAACAGCCACTGTTTGGAGCTACATAACTCAGCCAAAACTAAACCAAATAAGTTGTTTCTTGAGCCTAATACGTAGACAAGACAGAGGACTACAATCGAGAAAAAATATCACCTCATTCCGAGCTCGTATGAAGATTTTATAACGTTTCAAAGTTGGATAAAAAAACTAAAAAAATGTTGAAATATTGTACAAAAGTTCTAACAGCCACTGTTTGGAGCTACATAACTCAGCCAAAACCAAACCAAATAAGCTGTTTCTTGAGCCTAATATGTAGACAAGACAGATGACTACAATCTGAGAAAAAAATCGCCTCATTCCGAGCTCGTATGAAGATTTTATGAAGTTTCAAAGATGGACAAAAATTCTAAAAAGTGCAGAAACATAAAAAAAAAAATTAACAGCCCCTGTTTAGGGTTGTATAACTCAGCCAAAAATTAACCAAACAAGCTATTGTTTGACTCTAAAACATAGCCAAGACAAAGGGCTACAATCTGGAAAGAAAATCACCTCATTCGGAGCTCTTATGAAGGTTGTATGAAGGTTTAAAGTTGGACAAAAATTCTAAAAAATTGCTGAAACATTATAAAAAAAACTAATCTACAAGTATTGTCATACATTGATTTCAAACACAGTTATTTTTAATATATGAAGAATCGATAATGTCATAGCAAGATTTTAACACAATTTAAAATTATAAAAAGAATCGATCATAGCAAGATTTTAACACAATTTCGAAATTAGAATTCTTGAATTGGAAGTATTCATAACAAGATTAACAATCATACCTTCGATTGGAAGATGATACCAAAATCGCCCAAGAAGAAGCTATGCGTGAATGAAGCAACACAGTCGTGAATGATTTGATCCTATGTATCGACGTACGTAGGGCAATCAAGATTACGTGGGCCTATTGCATGGTAATCGGCTTGAAACCTCTTGATCAATTGCAAAATCTTGATCGATTGCACATAGTGGGGTTTAAATGGGGGCAAATCGATTTCTCCGCTTTTTTTTTTAGATTCTCTGTCACGCCTCTACTTTCTTTTCTCCCCTTTTCTCTTTTAAAAATAGGGAATTATTTTGATGGAAAATGAATTGATTTATTTCCCACTTTACATGGTTCCACCCTACCCTATTTGACATTTTTGAGTTTTCCGATTTTAGACCCATTATAATCGGTTTCATATCAGGAACCGAACTGGAATCTATATAACAATCCCGTTTCTGGTTCTACTAAATCTTGTTTTCCAGTTTCGGAGTCCATTTAGAGTGGGTTTGGACCCGGTTTCACCCCTAATTGGTATACATAACCCATTTGGAAATGCTACATTATTTTTTTGAAGTGGAGAAAAAGATGAACTCGAAGTTTTGATGTAAAAAAAAACAAAAATATGTGCCCCACCCACGTCCAAGTTCCTGAACGAAACATATGATACACTTCCCTATAGACTATAGTATATAGAAGCCACCGTCAAACCATCTCTTGCACTTTTCAATGCGTTTCCCTTTATTCACGCTCCAGATTTCATACAATGCCCACGCCTTTCTTATAATCTCTTTCCCTTTTTTCAATCCCTTTTCTTTCGCTCTCTGAAACCATATGCCATCTCCAAAATCATCGTACATAACACCTGAAACACCAAACACAAACCATTTTCCAGTTCCCACTTACTCCCTTTTCCGGTTTTAGTTTCTTCAGATCTGGGACCTCAAACCCTTTTCCCTTCGCCCAAATTAAACAATCTTAGAACTGGGTTTCCTCCTTACCTCTAAAGAACCAAAGATTTTAGTTTCTCTTACGTAATTCCTGGTGGGTTCTATGTTCTGCTTCATTCAAATGCTAAAACCCTAGTTCATTATGCGATTGGAGGTCACTTGTCAAGTGGGTGTTCAATTATCTAGTGTTTTTCATACGAAATTGAAGACCCAGATCAGATAAGAGTAGCGATTTGAAGTATATACGGTTGGAAAGTTTATTGAAGATGATACAGTTATTGTTCTTTGTTGTATTTGCCGAGGCCTTTGTGGCATTTCTTCTAATGGTGAAAATCGGACCACTTAGAGAACTGGTCATGAATGGGTTGGATCAAGTAAAAATGAGGAAGGGGACTGTTTTGACGATTGCTGGGACGATGTCTGTGATCTTGTTTTCAAATTGGATTAGTATTGTTAAAATCCAGAACAAAGGTGCTAAGATTGGTACAATGACACCCATGGATCAAGTTCTTTGGAGGACTCATTTGCTTGAGGCTTCACTCATGGGTACATTACTACTACTACCACCACTATTTTGTTTTAACTTTAAGTCTTCATTCATGTTTTCATATGTTTTTGCTTCTTATGGTCAAAATAATCAAATTTTGAGGGTAGTTGTCCGTATCTTTAACCTTTAATCTGTGTATATATGATTCCAAGTTTGATTATTCGAGTCACAGTTACCAGTTTCTTATGGTTGGCTGGTTAGGGATAGTTTAGATATAAATAATATTTCAATGGTGCAAGTGTTCTGTTTTGTATATTTCACTGATTTCAAAACTGGATATGTGGTAAGAAATTTGGGTTACACTTTGTAGAATTATATGATACGATATAATTCAGCAATAAAATGACAATGCAGATAGGATTTGGATTCAATAGTGAGATTTATATGTCAATACATATACAACAAATAGGATTAAAAGTTTATAGTAAAACTTAACAGATTTGATAACACAATTTGATTAGATGATCTGGATAGGATTTTGATTTATAAGTTGAATCATATAGCAAGATTCTGAATCGTGAATCATCCGGTTTTGAAAACCATGAATATTTCTATTCTTGTAGCCTTGTCTTATTTATTTATTTATTTATTTCAGTAAGTGTTATTTGGATAAAAAATATTTTAGAAAATGACAACATACCCTTAAAAAGACTTCCAAACAGAAAAGGCAAAAAAAAAAAAAAAAAAAAAATTTAAGAGGAGATGACTTGTTAGGGGCAGTTTAGTCTTTTCTCATTGTGAAGTCGAGCCAAGTTTGGATTTCATAGTCTTCATATCATAATTGCTTTAATGGGTTTGGCTGTAAAATTTATGGTGGTCTTCCAATCCCCAAAAATGATGTAGTGAACAAACTTATTTTCAACTTGGAAATTAACTTGAATTTTTACATTTTCTAGCAACAAATCAGTTACTACTACAAATAATAAGCTTAAGGTAAGTAACTACAAGCCTAATATGTTATAGGGCTAAATGCAAGAAATAGCAAGACACTTTCATTTATTTGTGTATAAATTATAATAGCATCCTACTTTCATTTTTCTTTCTACTACAACATTGTACCTTCAGTCTTTTTCTTATTAAGTCATTGTATGTTGTAAAATCTACTAATTTGTAGCATTGTGATAAAAAATCTATCCAGTTATATATATAGCAGTAAAAACTGCTTTACATTTGGATGACATTGATGTGATTGGTTGATTTTTCAAACTACAATGTTGTAATAGGAACAAATGAAACTATGATATTGATGCTGTATAAAAATATCCATGGAAGTATGTTGCTGTTTATTGTATTTAAACCCTAGTCATATATGAACAGTCATAGTAGCCAAACTTGTATACTTTGACCTTGCAGGATTCTCTTTGTATCTTGGCTTCTTAATTGATCGAATGCATCATCATCTTCAAAAATTAATCAATCTGAGAAAAAACGGTGGTTCATCGAAAAAACAAGTGGAAAAGCTGGAGGCTGAAAAGTTGCAGCTAAAAGAAAACGAAGAGAAAGCAAAAGAAGAAATCAATCGGATGCAAAAAGAGATTTCCAATCTATCAGAAAGCTTAAAGAAGCTTAAGCTGGAGTCGAAAGAAAAAGATAAGAAGATTGAAGTTGCAGAAGCTCATGTCACTTCCCTTCAGAAACAATCTGCTGATTTGCTTCTTGAATATGATCGTCTTCTTGAAGACAATCAAAATCTTCAAGCCCAAACTAAAAATCGACAATTTAGGGGTTAGATTTATATGATCTTGTTTGTGTGGTGACCATTGTTGTTGACTTTTTCGTGTTGGACTTGAGTTTAGATATGATCTCATGAGTCATTTTTTGGAAACATGGAAATTGTAATCTTGTTGTACACGGACGTGTTGAATTGTTTTGCATTTGATTTTTGGTATCTTGAGAAAAAGTTAGAATCAATTTGTACTGGTTTGATTGATGGAAGTTTTGGAGTTATTTTTTGAACAGGGCATCACAAAGATTGAAGTCTGAGATTTCTGATTATCTGCTAGGGTTAGTTCCACATCTCATCGGATTAGTTCCATTTTCTATTTACTTATTCTCATTATAGTACATTTGTTAAAAATAAAAGGAGGTAAAATCATTCGAACGAACAAGAGATAAAAAAAGAGAGAGAGAGAGAGAGAGAGACGTTATCGATGACTGCCAAATCGTTTACATTAGGGTTACATGAATTTCTTAAGGAATTTATTTATACAAGCAAATTGACTTAAATTTTGCCAATAAGGCCAAACCCAAAAACTAATACGAATCTAGTCACGGCTTATTTTGAAGTTGGATATGATATAGGAACTAGACCCTTAAAATACAAAATTTTCATCAACTGTTTTTATATTAACTTCATAATTGAAAAAAAAAATTATTTATACTAGCTTCTAAATATAACATTTTCGATTATAAAAACCCATATATTTGAAAAAAAAAATACTTCTAGCTTTTTGAGGTGCAAAATCGTTAATAATATCTTCAAAATCGATCATGTCTAACATTATATTAATAAAATTTGTAAAATTTTTGGGCACCTTTAAAAGATGGGCCCTGGACGTTCGCCCCTATCGCCCACCCTCTGAAACGGGCCTACATGTCATTGTCTCGGGGCCTCTGTGTGTACTCCGATGCAGACTATGGGAAGTTCTACGTCAAGCTACTGCGTCTTTTTAGGGAGCAACCTTCTTTCCAGGTCATCCAAACGCCAGACTACCATCTCGAGATCCCGTGTAGAAGCCAAGTATCGTGGAGTAGCAAATACATAAGCTAAAATGTCTAGGCTGCAAAACCTTGTACATGGGCTACACTTTTCTATTAGAAAAGCCATTGTTGTTTACTATGACAACGTAAGTGCAGTTTATCTCTCTACTAATCTGGTTCAACACCAACGTACGAAACACATCCAAACTGATATTCATTTTGTTCAAGACAAAGTCCATATGGGTTGCGTACTTGTTATCCGTGTCGTGTCTACATCTCACTACACAAATATCTTCACAAAAGGACTACCATCCTCTATTTTATGAGTTTATATTCGGTCTTAATGTCCAGCCAACTACCCACATTTCGACTGCACGAGGATGCTAATATATTTGTATGTTTGTTTGATTTGTGTACTAGCTTATCGGATTTGGCCTATCTGTATGTTTCAATAATCGAATTGTATTATTTGTATGTATACATGATTAATGAGAGATCAATTTCATGAGAAAATAATGTTATCAGACAATCATAATAAACCACGCTTAACCAAGGAGGAATAAATTCAAATAGAAATGTCACATTCAAAAGCTAACCCGTGCAAAGGAATAAATTCACCAAAACAATTATAAAGATCAAGAAATTTCATGTCTATATCATTTTGTTTTATCCTTCCTTAATAAACTGATGTCAACTGTCCAATAACGCCGTTTGTAACGCTTGATGCAACTATTGGTGTATATATTGAATTTCTTAGCAAATTTGGTTCTTTTTTACAATGTATATTCATAAAAATGACTATATGGTTATTGTGATTTAAGTAATCGATCCAATTTCTTTGCATTTCCTTAATTGACCACCAAGTCCAAAAAACAGGCCGTCTTGAGTTTGTTTTTGTTTCCTCCAAACACTTCAATTCTCCTTCCCCTCTTATATCCAAAGTATTTACTATTTTAATCGGAAGCTATTTTGATATTGATAAGATTTATTTGTTAGATTTCAGTAAAAAAAAAACATTTCAGAGTCAAAAATACTGTTTTTCTGATTTTATACATGTTTTAAAATTTTGGACTCCGCTTAATTATTATTACTATTATTATTATTTTGCTCATGTCAAATAAAGAAAGTCTGTAATTAATTTGGTCCGAAATACAATTTTTTGGAAATGATGGTCATTTTCTTTAATTCTCAAAGTCCGTACCAAACAACATTTTCACAAATTTAGTCCTTTCGAGTTTCTTGCCTAAAATAGAAGCCGCCTTTTCAATCAGGTTCATGACATTAACACCCAAGCAATTGAGGATCAATATATTAACCAAGGCCGCTGTCTAACACAAGACACGATTAGATCATACACTAGTGAACCCCAACAAATGACTTATAAGGGTAACTATGTTTCAAAATTATTCAAAAACATGATCTAAATTTCGTCTGTTCAAAAAACACCATCGAAGTAAGGTCTTTGTATAAAAAACACTAACGAACTATGTACTTCGTTCAAATGTCGCCTTATGGTAACCGACATTTACAGATAAAAATTAAATAAGGAAAAAAACAAAGGTAACTGTTTCAAAATCATTCAAAACACACCATCCAAGTTTGTTATGTTCATAAAACATCATCTAAGTAAGGTTTTTGTACAAAAAATACCAACAAACTATCTATTTTGTTCAAATGTTACCCATTCGAACCGGCTCTTACAAGTTAAAGGATGAGGCCTAATTATTATGACATGACATAATATTAGTTACATAACATTAATTGATATATTCATCATTTATAAATTGATTTAGGACTTCTTCATGAATGAATGACTTCTTCTTATCCTCTTCTTATTGTTTCTTCTTCTACTAAATCAAATATTTCCAACCCAAGCTCACACATTTCAAAGACACAAAAGATATTTGATGATACAAACCCTTGTGACTATCGACATCCTTTTCGAATTGGTATAAAGTTTGGGGTTTGTCCCAACTGAATGATAACTTTAACCAAAAACTTTATCGTGTCATTCTCCTATATATTTGCTTGGTTATGTGATTCATTTTTTGGATATATATATATATATATATATATATATATATATATATATATATGTGTGTGTGTGTGTAAGCTTTTACTATAGGTAGTATAGGCAATATACTTTTTTATATATGTATGCTAATTTGTAATGTGACAACAATGTCTTGATGAATATTTATGTCAATTTGTAGTGTGGTGAAATCTACTTTTTGTTTGCATTATGCTTAGCTACAGGTCATGACTAAACTAAAATAGATTTCAAAGTTCAAACTATTATGCATCTTTCAGTTTTCACAAATTCCATTCATTTAGTTATGTATGGACATTTAGCCCCTAGTTTTCAAAAATTCTAGTCATCCATTCATAAAGGAGCGCTAATCGATTTTTAAAGGAAGAATATATCAACTAATGGTATGTTACTAACGATTATGTCATATCACCAATAATTATGACAAGTCATCCTTTAACCTACAAGAACCGGTTACCTAACCGGTGGGTAACATTTGAACAAAACATATAGTTTGTTGGTGTTTTTTGTACAAAGATCTTACTTGGATGGTGTTTTTGAACATACCAAAGTTCGGATAATGTTTTTTGAACGATTCTGAAACATGATTACCCTTATAAGTCATTTTTTCCATAACAATACTTTGGAGATGAGTTAAAAGTAAAATAATCATATAATCATAAACAAAACAATATGGTTCTAACATTCCTAATTTCCGTAACACCTAAGTTCAAAATAATAGTATACAAACCAAGCCGTGTGCATTAATTACCTAATTTCTCAATGTCATCCAGAATAGTATTGCCATCCAATAGCAATAGCAGCTATCAATACAATTTTCAGAATTACCTTTGAACTTATAAACTTTGAAGAAGAAGAAGAAGATGGCGGGTCCCAAGGCTTTCCTCTCAACTTAGCTGACAATTTGGAGAACAATGATGGAAGCTTGCCACTCTTTTTATCTGAACATCATCCATAATCAACTTCTTTAAGTACAATGTCTTAATAACAAAAAAATAAAATTGATAACTAATTATAACCAAAATAAACTATTAATTTCAAATTAATTATCGTATTTACTACATTACAACATCCATTTTATTAAATGAGCAAAAATAAATTCAATACATGTTTAAGTAAATACTACACATGTTAATTATGTGTTTTTATTTGATTACTATTACTGTGATGTATGTTAATTATGTGGTTTATCCAAAAATATTGTGTTTTAAATTATTAAAAAGCATTAAAAATTTTAATAAGTTTGAAAAGAAAAATTTTAATTTCATATATACCATAAATAAATATCAATTTAATTTATAATTATAACATATTACACATAGAATATCATTGTATAAATAATAACTTAAAATGCATAAAATTCAAAGTTGAATAACAAAATTGTACACCAAATTTGTAAATGAATAGTATAACACCATATCTGTGTTTTATTATCCACCAACACCATTTTGTTGTAAGAAATGGCTTTGGGTTGGAGTAATTTTACACCAAATTTGGTGTAAAAATGGGATTTAGAGTATAATAATAATATTATTAATAAGTTCCATAAAGAAACAGTTTTACCTTTTTCTTTCAAAAGTCTTTCTTCCTCCCCAACACGTCTTCTAAGTGCATTCATCAGTGACCCAAAATACAACGCAAAAACAGTGCATGTAATTGTGATTACATTATAAGGCATGCTAAAATCAGGGGTAGTCAAAGGAACAAGAAGCACTTCTGTGTAAGATAATATTTTTCTTTTTTCCTGCAATACAAAACAGACCAAATTATAGCAACCTGCTTTTATTCATTTATTTATTATAGGCATAGCATTCTACTTTCATTTCCTCCAATCACAAGTTCACAACATTGTATTTTGAAAAATCTACCCAATTATAACAATCTTGAATCCTATAAATGGGTAGATTTTGCAGAGTAGGTAGATTTCTCAAAGTACAATGCCTTAATAAGAAAAAAAAAAGTTGAAAGTACAATGTTGTAATGTAATAGAAAGAAATAGAAGTACAATGTTATCATAAACAAACAAATGAAGATTGTTGCTATTTCTTGCATTTAAATACCTGCATCTTAGACACCATAGGTGACTTGATGGAAGCATTGTCCTGTTTATATTGCATGCATGTCTGGAAGTCCGGGTAGCTGATTATGGCAGATGGGATGTCAAACCCCTGGTTAGCATCTGGTGGATACTCATCTATGTGCAAGAAACCCTGTGGTACAAGTAATACAGCAGTAAGTACAAGTAAATTGAGCATACTTTTGAATCAATAAAAATTAGATGAAACCTGTACCTTGTCAAATTCTAAAGTTAATGAAGCTGATTTCAAGTCACAAGGTAATTTCAAGCTCATTTCCATTACTCCAGGGGACACCTTATCTTCAGAAGGTGAGACACTTAGTTTTTCTATGGCATCCCCAAAAGATTGGGGTACCCCATCTACATATACTTTTGCAGTATGGTAATATACTTTGATATACCAAGGCACAACTTGAAAAACATCTACTTTTAACCTACATTTTTCTTCATTATGGTCAACCTTTGGGAGACTTTGACTCCATTCTGTTGACTGTAAAGAGAGAGCAATAGCACCTCTTTCATTCCCACTTCCCATTAAGAACCGACTAACACGTAATGGTGCTTTCACACATGACCAAGTTACTGGAAGATTCCATTTGAATCCCAAATCAAAAGGTTTAGAATGATGATCTTTTATTGAGAAACCGTATAAGATAGAGGAGTGTTCTCTGTGGAAACTGTTTACTTCTTTCATTATTCTATCAGGAGAAATGGAAAATTCAAAGTTTAAATTACTCTCTAGACCTTCATCACCCTCGTCTTTCATGTTATGAACTAAGCTACCTTCAAGTTGAACATACACATTACTAGATTTTGCTAAAGCACATTTTCCATCAACTGTTTTTCCAAACAATGAGCTCATAGACCAGTTTGGTTGTAACTTTCTGCCACGAGTTTCCAAAGCATCTGGTTGAAGAACAACTGTAAGCGTTTGTTCAAGAACTATTCCATGATCTGAAGCCATTGGATCGAATTCCCCTGAAGTTAAATGCAACCTTTGAGAATGATAAAATCCTCTGTAAATTGATGGTCTGTCCATTAATGAAGAAAGCCCAGATTTGTCTCGACATGGAAGCAACTTCAACCATGGAGTCAGATTTTCAGTGCAAACAGCCTCTCGAGGCAATGAGCCGTATCTTAAATTGGATGAAAGTGGGCGGAAGCTCCAGTCTGGAGCAGAATACGTGGTGGAAGATTCTAGAAAGTTGATTGAAGCACAAAAGAGGCCTGAAAGTGTGTGTGTTAGGTTTTTCCAGGAAGCATCGACCTGATCTGCGGAGACATCAAACACAGCCCATAATTCAACTCCGGGAGGTTTGGCGTTGCTGCTTGAAACAGGGTCAAAACCACCCCAGCTTTCGTAATTCCAACGACCTTGAGTGAAAGACAGCTCCATTTCTCTGATTCTATATTTGTGAACCTGTAGTGTCCAAATCCTAAATTAGACCACAAATACGATTGGTTGAAATCTATATAAAAAAGTAATACAACAATATAATGTAACTTCACAAATCATCTTAATCAATGAATCATTAAACCCTAAACTCAATTAGGATGGACCACATCAACAATTAGAAAGCCTTTGGTACTGTTAAACCTAAGGATTCAATAAAATGCCTAGATAGAGAAACGAATCTGATCGAGTAAAGTAATTAACGAACTATTGTAATCATACCAGCTGATAGATAGCTTTGGGAAAAAGCCGGTGGTGATGTCCATAAGAATTTGTCGGAGGAACTTTACTCTCGAAGTGAAAATGAGAAAGAACTTTCCGATCAGGAAGTGGTCTGAACAGCAACTCCTCAGTGAATTCTTCTCCATTGATTTGTTCTACTACTTCTCCCGTGGATTCAGAGGCAACGTGGAGTACGAACACTAACAGCACGAAGATGGAAAGTAAACGAGCCATGAGAATCTGAGTGTTCGTGATTGTGTACTATGGTAATGGAGTCAATCGCGTAGGAAAATCGGCCATTGCAGGAACTTCAAATTGTATTCTCGGTGACAACCCACATCACAGATCAAGCCTTAAGCTTCACCGGATCATGGTTCAGACCCATTCATCTAACGGGTCGGAATATGTGCCTGGTTTTTTTTTTTTTTTTTTTTGTACCTTTTTTTTAATTATAGGTTTTTAGGGATGAGTGTGGGACGGAACCGGCACCGTTTTCGATTTCTCGAATACCGAATTTCATCTAAAGTCAACCCCGAGTACCATACCAAATTAACGTTATCGGTACCGGGAATGGTACCGACTTTCGGTACTAGTATCGGTACCGATGATACCGAATCCCGAATTCCGTGATTTTGAAGTACCGAGTATCATCCCATATTTTTAAATTTGATATGGTTTGGTATCGGTTCCGGTAAAGTACCGGTACGGGATCGGGATTTGGTACAAACTGTTCATCCCTACAAGTTTTAAAAAGATAAAATTGCAAAAATGGTCATTGTGGTTTGTCAATTTCTTTGGCTAAGGTCAAAAAAAAGTTATGAGCAAAAAAGGTCTTTGTTTGGTGGTTTGGTTGTGGTTTGGTCCCTAGCTCGTTAGGTTTAATAGTTTGGCTGTTAACTTTTTGGAAATGACAATTTTACCCTTATGGACCATTTCTGCAGTTTTATCTTTTTACCAAACTACAAAGACAATTTCTGTAATTTTTCTTTTTTATTTTAATGAATTATTGTACATTAATTCTTTTTTAATTTTTTTGTTATTGTATTATTTTAATTGGATTATTATATATTAATAAATATTATTTTTAATATATTATATTTATATATTAATAAATATTATTTTATTATATTATTAATTTTTTATAAGTTCTTTTTTAATTTTTATTTTCTGAATTAATTCTTTTTTATTGGATTATTATATATTAATAAATATTATTTTTAACATATACTGTAATATTTATCTATTAATAAATATTACTTTAGTGGATTGTTAATTTCTTTTAATTAATTTTTTTTAATTTTTTTATTGCATTAATTCTTTTTATTGGATTATTACTTTTAATTTATTATTTTTATATACAATAAATATTATTTTATTGGATTAATAATTTATAATGTATAATATTAGTTCTTTTTAATGTTATTGGTTCCACCACAAAGTCCTCAGAATACACAAAAGTGCCACCCCCTATCGTCGAAAATCGACAGGACAACTGCCAATCATCTTCATCGATGGTTCGACGAAAACCCCACCAACTTGTTACAGCGAATGTCGCTAGCAGCCACCTATGACAATCTCTTCACAATCCGTTGGATCCTCTATATATGTCACTAAGTTGGCCACATTCCACTACAACCACCAGAATTCAAACCACCAGGAGGTCCGATCCAAACACTCCTAGTCAGTTCCTCCATTCATTACCTTCTATCACTTTGCGTCATCATATCATCTCGCTAGAAATCGTCAATCATCGCCTACAGTCGAGCATTCTCGATGAAAACTACATCGGTCGACTACCCATACAATGCGCAACAAATCCCAGAAAACATACAGCCTCAAGCCGACCAATTTTTACTAACACCGTCATCGGTGACGACAACGTTAGATCGAGGGTTTTCAAACCACCATAGTCACTGTAGGTGGTGACAAGGTTGTAGAACTGATTATTCGATACTCGTTCGGCCGATTGCCGAGTGGTGAGTACTCGGTAGTACTTGGATTTGGTAATTCATGTAGAAATGTTTTTAAGGAAATTATATATGTTAAAATCATAAGTTTATTGAAATATATAACAAAATTAGATACATGTGACAACACAAAAACTAAAATAAACACGATGATCTAACTTTGTGAATAATTACTGAAAATTTAAGATATATATGTAGTAACAGGGGTTTGGAGACGATCCCACGGTGGTGGTGGTAACAGAGTGATGGTGGTGGTGCTGTCTAAAATAAGTTATCTTTCAAATATTTAAAATAAATTATGAGAGATGGGTAGGTGAGATTAATTGGTATTTTTATATAAAATAATAAAGAAAATAATTAAAATAAATTAAATTAAATTAAAAAAAATAATATTTATTACAAATAAAAATAAGAAATTTAAAGTAATAATCCAATAAAAAGAGTTAACACAATATTTTTTAAATTAATTAAATGAAACTAAAAATTCAATAAAGTAACAGATAAATATTATATGTTAAAAATAATATTTATTAATATATAATAATCCAATAAAAAAGAAATTAAAAAAATAATTAATTAAAAAAATTAATAATCAAATAAAGTAATATTTATTAATATAAATATATTATATTAAAAATAATATATATATATATATATATATAATAATCCAATAAAAAATAATACAATAAAAAATAAATTTAAAAAGTTAATTAAAAAAACTAATGTACAATAATTCATTAAAATAAAAAGAAAAGTTGCATATAAATAGTTGGTAAAAAGATAAAATTACATAAATGATCTCTAGGGGTAAAACTATCATTTCCAAAAAGTTAAGAGCAAGGACAAAACTGAAAATATGGTCCCTTTGTCAAAATTACGTGTTTTGGTCCAAAAAATCTGATGGTGCATCATTGGTCCAATTTTGAATATATTGTGTGGTTTTGGTCACCATGGTTAACATTTTTGTGTGGTTTTATCCACATCCAACATAAAATGACGAATATGCCCCTAAATTTATTTCCTTTTATCTATTTTCTTAAAATTTCTTATTTTTTTAATTAACTAAACCAAAAAAATCCCAAGCCCCCGACCTAAATCATGATCCCTACTCCCCACCCATCTCCATCTCTCTTCCTTACTCCCTTCCATCGCCACCACTAGCACCGGAGAAGGGCAATAATTTCACAGTGGAGATCGGAGTTAGGGTTTGTAAACATTTATGTCAGATCTGATCACCACAATAAGAGTGAGTGACGGCAAAGTCTAAGAGGAATTCGACAAGCATAGTCGCCGCTGCCTGCCTTCTCTGTACCCATCTGCATCACTTTCCTTCTCCGTTGCCACCTCCATCTATCTTCAGCCGTTGAAACGACGATTGTTGTCCTCCATCAACGATTGGCAAAATAAACTTGAACTCGACACACTCACATACCTGCAAATCCATGGGAGGGATGTGGTGGTGGAATTGAACTACAAGAGGGGAAGAGGTGGTAGAAGGGGGTCGTTTGTGTTCATCACCACCCCGACCATACTTGTTCATCAGCTCCGATTTGGGTGGCATGTATGAATGAAGGATTTCGGTGAACCAAGAACATAACACACACACACACATACATACATTGTCTTCTTGATTCAACTCTGATTTTAGCTCCGATTCTGGTGACCCAATCGAGTGAATCGAATTTTGCTCTGATTTCAGCTTCAATTTGATTCAGTGAAAATCATCTACTTCTTTGATTTCATTAACCCTTAAACCTAGAAATGATATGAAACTACATAGATGAAATTGATTTTTCATAAATCGATTTGATTCGGTGCCTCCAGATCTTCACTTTGTCGTCGATTTTTCTTTTTGCTTGGTTTTGATTTAGCCCTTTTTTTGTCTGATTCGTGGTCATTTTGGACGATGACGGTGTGGTGGTTGATTGTAATACTGGTAGTATATGGCAGTGGTGGTTGTGAGTGTGGGATGAATGATGATATTTTAAAGTAAATTTTATTTTTATTTTTTCTTTTTTTAATAATATGAATAATTAATTAATTAAAAGAAAAAGAAAAAGAAAATCAGGAGGGTATAATAGTCTTTTCAAGCAGAGAGGGACCAAAATCACTAAAAAGATCTAAAATCGGACCATTGATGTACCGTCAAAACTTTTTGGACCAAAAGCACATAATTTTTACAAGCGACCATTTTTGTAATTTTGTCTAAGAACAAGATGTTAAACTTAACCTGCTAGGGACCAAAATCATAACAAAACCACCGAATATGGACTTTTTTTTTCCTAATAAACATTTTTTGAGGGCCCAGAGAAATTTTGTCTTTTAAAAAAAGAAAACTATAAATTTGGTCATCTAGTTTGCCTATTTAATTTGGTTAAAGCCCCCTATTTTCAAAATTACAAAATTTGTCATTTTCATTACGTTTCATAATTGATTTTGGCCGATTTAAAAAATGAAAAAAGATTTGTTTACACTCATCATTTAACTTTTACATTTTCTTTAATATTTATTATAGATGTGATAATTCTAAAATACAAAATAAACTTCCACCCTATACATGTCTTCCTTATTTCCTTTCACATGCCTCCTCCTCCTTCTCTCTGACTTTCTTCTCTGGCGTCTACAAGATGTTTCAAAAAATTCTAGCCATTCTTAATCACGAACCACCCTTGATCAGACCACCCATAAGAACGATAAACCAATATTCACCAACACATAATCATTTTCTTGAAATTCTGACTTGGTTATATGTGCAACATTCTCAAAACATATGTATATCACAGACTTAGTAGCTTAGGTGTCTAGCCATCGTCGAATGGTCTTGTCTTGCTCAAACATTGATGCTTTACAATGTTCAATCTGAGCAAAATTTTGCAAGTCTTTTTATTGTAGTTTTCTTCTAACTTCTAGTGCTCATAACCTTTTCATATTACATCGGATTTTAGGATTTCTTATATGTACAAAAAGCTTGTCATGGGTACTACAACTTTCATGAACTAAACTTTTGTTGAGTGGTCCTAGATTTCAAATTATTAAGCCATGAACATGGAAATTCATAAAGATTTCATCATTATGTTTGATAAATCCATTTTCAAATAATAACTAATTCATTACATATCCAATTGACATGATACTTTTTTCTATGAATTATTTTCTGCAAATATTACAACTTTTATTTAATAACTTTCTTCTCATTGGCTTTAGATCTTGACTTATTAAGAGATCCTAACACGACTCTTTGGAAATGTAGAACTTTCGATCGATTTTTATCTAAATTTTTGTCTAAGTTTGAAAATATCATAACTTCTTCATTACAATTTTTTACTAAAGTAATCTATTTTTTTTGGATAAAAACAATTATTTATAACATAATTTTACATGTTAAAAACAAAATATTATAATATCTCAAGAACTTTATACTAACAACTTAAAAACATGGTATTTTATTGAATTTTGGAAGCTCAAAATCATGGTTATTATTTATTATATTTATATAATTAATATAAATAATATATTAATGGGGCCCCCATTAGGGGTTCAGGATGGAACTGTCCACCCTCACCCCCACCCCAACTGGGTTTCCGATTTTTTTTAACAAATATCTAAGGGTGTGTATGAGGCGGTTTGGTTCGGTTATTGGTCAAAACTGAACCATAACCATTACAACTGGTTAATGTATTTCGATAACCATTGGGTAGCGGTTAATATTGGTTTTGGTTAATGGATATGGTTGATGGTTAATATTGGTTAACCATAATGGTCTAAGATAACATAAAAATAAAAATACTTTTCTATAAAAACTGAAAGATATAAAGTCCGTTGTTATAAAAAGTGAATGATTGTGTATATATAATTGTATTGATAGAAGATTATTTATCATATCTAACTCCAAATAATTACCCTTTAAAATTTCAATTCTGTATATAATTACATACCATATATTTAATATTATATTTTATTAAAAACATTTATTAATTTTTTTGTAAACACAGATAGTTATATATGTCTATTGAAATCAAATATAGTTCAATACATATCGATGGAAGGCAAACGTTGTGCCACTAGCCCTTTCTGGATGGCAAAATTAATTCTTTTGAAAACAACATTTGTGGATCTAGGAGATATAACATTAGAATGCATGACCCGTTGGACTCTGTTGAGGAGCTTCACCGCCTATGGCGCGAGATATCCAACTGTATTAAATGCAAAAAGGTACAAACACATGTTGATTTTCTATACATGCATTCTCGTGCTTTGCCACTTTGCACGCACCGGTTTTCAAAGCGGCATGCCCTGCTGTGAAATCCCCACTCCTCAAACCGACGAGAGGAGACACCACGGTAAGATCCACACAAGCATTCTTCCCTCCTATCCATCCAAAGATCAAAATGTTCGCCGACCTGAGTGTGGATCTTCCATCCTGCGGGTCCGTCAAAAAGTTCACTGGCGCTTCTTTCTTCACAGAAATATCAGCACGCTGACAAGCATCAAAGAGAACATCCCTAACCACATCATTTCAGTACTTGAAACCAAGGAGCTCTCTACAATGAACCGCATGTTCCCCAAAAGTGTCCAAGCATGCCCTGCGGCAAACTGGGCATATCTCGTCAATTGGGAATAGAGGAATCATGAGGCCGTAGCGAATGATAGTTCGATACTCCACAGGAGACATATGTTGGTCGAGGTCATCAATAAGGATAGTTAGCATAAAATCCTGAGCATGAGGTGCCCGAAGACACTCAAAAACTGCTTTTTGTCTAACAATAATGTCGAAGTCGACTTCCATATCTTTGACGATTTTGCTAAAAAGGGCACACGCCAATGCTTTTTGGGATTTAGGGGGGCGATGTCCTTATTAGTGAAACCGCTACAGTCGAATCCTGGAATCATATCGCAAAGACGAGTCAAAGCACATAGGTAATCAGAGTCCATACCACATATGTCACTGTCACGTAAGATGTGGTCTTGTAATGCCCAAGATTGAGCCCTCGAGGCTACAAATGCGTAGGAGGAAACCTCATATGCTGAGTTCAAACCCAAAGAAAAGTTTTGCAATGCCCATACATGATCGAAGCAAAAGGAGCTCACTCTGCGGGTCACATAGTTGTGGAAGAAGACCCATCAAATCAACAGCATTGACCGTTCTCTTCATGGCCAGCCCGCTAATAAACCCTGCGTCTTTGCTAACAGCCCCCCCCCCCAAGGAGCTTCACCCCCAAAGAAGGTCTCCTTATATCCGTGGGGAATAAATTAGCACGAAGCTTCCTACCATCACACGAGGGCCAAAAAATCTTCGTTTTCTTGATGTTCAACTCAAGACCCAAGCCTGGACCATTCACCCTAATAATGTTCAGCACTCTAGCCATCTCCACTGAATCCCCAATGACAGTCCCATCATCTAGATACCAAGCATGGAGGAGGAGCTTACAATTGTCTCTAATTTTGTGCACGAGTGGGTGCAAAACGAGGGCAAAAATAAGAGGGCCCAAGGGGTCGCCTTGTTGCACCCCAGTGGCAGACCATATATGTTGGTCTCCGATATAAAGTCTCGTTGCTTGTCGTACAAGAAATTCACCCACACAGAAATAGAAGGGCACATCCTTTTAACCTCATGGAGCAAGGCTGATCTATCCACCAGGTTAAAGGCATTCGAGAAATCCACTGTAAGTATTGCAAGAGACCCATCAGCGTGGTGTTCACTCAACACCCTATTGGCACTGTGTAACACCGCCTCAGCACCCCCGGACACACCAACCCCCAAACTGAAAATCATTAAGGTACTTAGCCATTTCTTTACCCACACCTTTCATGGCAACCTTGGAAACCAGACGTCTCCATATGTATTGGGTTAATCAAAATTAAAAACTGCACCATAACTTTTAGTAATCGTTCGGTTGTTCGGTTAATATGCTCACCCCTACAAATATCCCTTATACGAGATCGGGTTCCATGTGACTTTTTAACATCCCTGCTTACCTATTCCACTAACTCAACCTTGTTACATTGTGTCTCGTGCTTTCTAGAATCTAAACTACTACCACTTAACTTTTTGTTGAGATAACATAATATTATAGTATTAGGTTATCTAAATTCTTATATAAAAAAATATATTGAAATAATTAGAGATAACATAATATTATAGTATAAGGTTATCTAAATTCTTATATAAAAAATTATATTAAAATAAATAGCATGACGGATGGTGTTGTCCTTCCTATTTGAAGTGGAAGGTCAAATTGACAAAATTGCAAAAATGGTCCCTGTGGCTGGCAAATTTATGTGTTTTTGGTCCAAAACGAAATGTTGGTGCTCCGCTAGTCCAAAATTGGATATTTCTATTGTTTTTGGTCCCTATCGACATAAAAAGACTATTATACCCTTATATTTGTTTTTTCTACTTTTTTATATTTATTCAAATGTTTTTCATTAATTAAAATTGAGAAAAAGGTCTCTCTCTCTCACTCACTCAGAAAAAAAAATGGGTCGACGTCGTTATCCACCTAAAGCTTTATCATCTTCCTCGCTCCCTTGAAGGTCACTACCATTGCCATCCCCTATTACCTGCAAATCAGAAATCAAGGTAGAAGCCTATGAAGTCGGGGTTAAAGTTGTTCTCCATTTTTGAAGAACACTAGAACTCAAGGTTCAAATGACTCAATTTTCCCTTTTTTCTATCCTGTTTGTATGTCTCATTCATTCTTCATTTTGATTAACGATTAATCATTCAAGTTCCAGATTTGATGTGAGCTCCTTTTGGATCGTAATCGGTACTATCACCACCATACACCACCAACCTTGAACTCCATTACAACCATCCCGTCATCACCCCTTCTAATCAGCCCTCCTAACCTTCTTCTCCCTTGTTCATCAGCCTGAACATCACCTCTAACGCCACCCACATCACACACCACTGGACCACCATAACCCACCATACCCGCAAGCCAACACACATCTGCCATCAAAAAGATAAAAAAAATGGAAAAAAATAATGAGATTGATTCAGAAGAGAGAAAGAAGAAGGTTGTGATCGAGTTTAATAAAAAAGAAAAAACGATATACAAGCCTTAACCTCTTCTTGATTTACCACTAAAATCTGATCAACACTACCAGACTCACCATCCCCAAGCTCCTGCGATGTGAATCGAATAAGGTGTAGTGAGAATCGAATCGGAACAGAAAAGAAGGAATCGAGGATCGTGGTTGTTGTCGATTGAAGCTAAAACAAGAAGGAGCATACTTGCGATTGTGAGAGAAGGAGGGGGTGCATCGATTTGAGTTCTGAGCTACGTGTGATCTGAAAAGTTTGTTGATGAACACATCGAAGAACACCGATGATTTTTTTTGGGTGAATGTTTGATCTGAAAAGTTGAGTTCTTTGTGTGTGTGTATGTGAGAGAGAGAGAGAGTGTGTGTGTGTGTGTGTGAGAGAGAGGGAGAGAAAGGGATAAGTGGGGTGATATATATATATATATATATATATATATATATATATAATTTGGTTTTTTTAATTAAAGGAATTACAATTCAATTAAAAGAAATAGAAAAAAACAATTGTAAGGGCATATTAGTCATTTTAGGTGGGGTATAGACCAAAACCACACAAAAATGCTAACTATAAGAACCAAAATCACATAAAATATCCGAAATTGGACCACCGATGCACCACCAAACTTTTTTGGACCAAAACCACATAATTTTGACAAGCACAGGGACCATTTTCGCAATTTTATCTATGGATTTAGAGTTGTTTAGAAGTAGAATTGATTTGCCATTAAAATAAATAGATAGTCTGACATCTTATCTTATAAATAGACTTTATCACTTGTTAACATTTAATATAACATCCAATTTAAAAAAAAAAATTTACGACATCCATGATGCATTCCATAGAGTGTAATGAATTACCATATTATTATTCACTATTATGGCCAATATGAGACTAACCCACGTGGTAAAAATGGAATTCACTATTATGGCCAATATGAAACTAACCTACTTGGTAAAAATGGAATTCACTATTATGGCGAAATATGAGACTAAGGCCCTGTTTGGTAGCATCTTAATGCCTCTTAATAAAAGACTGATCTGAATCTTTTTTGATTCATTTTTTATTCAGACGGTTTGGTTACCTCTTATACTCTTATATTTGCATCTGAAAATATCATCATATTCGGTCAGACATAAAGTCGCATCTGAAAGAAAAAAAAAGAACGCATTTCCTTTTTGCCATAACTCTACCCTCGTCTCTCTTCTTCCGTTCATCGAACACCCCCCCCCCCTCCCCCCCATCTCTTCTGCCTCTGCATCTTTGACGTCACAGAGCACCGACGACACCCTTGCACCGCCAGAGCCAACGTCGCACACCATCCCATTGCTGAAATCGAACCGTAGCCAAGCCCTAAATCGAAGCCCCCATTGAGATAAATGGTCTTCATGGTGTGAAATCGAAAATTGTTGTGAGTTTATTGTATCAAATATGAATGCGATTTTTTGAGATGTGAAAACGGAAATCAATTTCATATTCTGAACTATCAAACGCAGTTTCCTCCATTTCATGGTTTTCCATTTTTCTCTGAATATCCATAAATAAGAACTCTTTGATTCTCTGTTGTCACTTTTAAATCTGAGTATCTGATTCCATTTTTTACTTCATTTGTGTAATTTAGGTTACGTTCAAATGTTTATGTCATTTGGGTTTTGTTTAAATGTTCATTTACTTGCTGAGAATTTTTAAGCTTATCATTATTTTAATTTACATATTTTAGCTGGTTGAATTTTCAGATACAATTGGATTTTATGGAAGTACTTTTGTGCTCATTTATTTTGTTCCTTTTTGTTTATGTTGATGTATGCACATTAATTTGTTCCTTCTTGTTTATGTTGATGTATGCAGATTTCATCACTAATTATGTAGAGCTTTGAATCATATTTGATTATGCAGCGATTTGTCATTTACATTTACAATCACTTATCACACTTGTTTAGGGATGTCAACCGGGGCAAACGGGACGGGGAGTGCATCCCCGCCCTCGAAATTTCCCCGTTCCCCCGTCCCCGAAATGTTCAGCCTTTCTACCCCCGCCCCCGCCCCCGAATCCTCTTTATTACCCCCGCCCCCGCCCCCGATTAATTTTTGGCTGCCTTTTTTTGGGCTAAAAAAAGTTGTTATTTAGGCTAAAAAAACTATTTTTTAGGTAACAAATAACTATTTATAGCAGAATTTGACATGTTAAAAATAAAAAAGTTATGGCATCTTAAAAACATTATACTAACAACCTAAAAACATGTTTTTTTTGATGAATTTTGGAAGCTCGAAATCATGTTATTGTTTTTTATATTTATATAATTAATATATGTGTAATTTATTAACGGGGTCCCCATGGGGGTTTCGGGACGGAATTGCCTATCACCGCCCCCGCCCCCGAAATTAAAACGGGGGTTAACTTTGGTCCCGCCCCCGTCCCCACCCCAAGTTTCTTTTTTTAAATATTCCCCCAAACGGGACGGGGCCCCCGTGGGAACGGGGTCCCACGGGACTTTTTGACATCCCTACACTTGTTATATCTTCTAAACATCTTGATTTGCTAACTGTTTTGTCTGGGTTTATTGTTAATTGTTCGAGTTTAGAAGGTCGTTGTTTTTTGGGATTTTATGTGTTTAATGAAGCAAATGTGAAAACCAAATTCTTGGTTTTTTTTCCTCTTTGTACTAATAAATATCATTTAAGGGCAAAATAGTCATTTTTATCATTTAACACTGCAATTCAGAGGTTCCAACCAAACAACATTTAAAAATTCAAATCTTAAAAATTCAGACCCTCTTAGAAATTCAAACCTCTTAGAATTTCAGATCTTAAAAATTCAGATGTTGCCAAACAGCCCCTAACCCACGTGGTAAAAATGAAATTCACTGTTATAGCCAATATGATACTAACCTACTTGATAAAAATAGAATTCACTATTATGTGGAACTAACCTGCATGGTAAAAATAGAAAGCCTCTTAAGTTAGAAGTGCCGGATTCAAACTTAATTAACGAACTTGGTAATTTAACTTCTAACCACTAACCAACTATTCAAAAAACATACAACTATATATATATATATATATATATATATATATATATATATATATATATATATATATATATATATATATATGGAGTATGATCAAATGAGAACACCTAAAAGGTTGAGAACGAGAGAACAGATCTGAACCATTTAAATACTTAGATCTAAGGTTATTATTAAATGGACTATTTATGAAAAATTCTAAAACTAATGGTATTAAAGTGTAACTTTGAAATGATCAGAAGGGCATAATAGGAATTGCAACTTTATCTATTTCCTATAATTTCTCACCCTTTCACCTATTTCCTCTCATCTTTCTCGTATTCCCCCGTCTCTCTCGTCTCTCTCTCTCTAGGGTTTTATAACAAATCCACCTCCATCATATACATACTACCATGAAGATTTGTTCAGCATCTTCACCTCACGCCGCAGCCACCATCGTCATACCCATCACCCTCTCACCAAAGTGGCGCCGGTGAGACCTGATGAACGCACAATCCATTTTCGCAGTCTTTTCTATCAACTCTCGCTTCAACACCGATTCCAATCGAGGATATCCGTGCCGACGCCACCTGGCTTGGACTCCTTCCTCACGAGGTCTCGTTTCCCCGCCTTCTCGAGACAATCTCCGATGATTGTCATGTCGAAATCAACGAAACTGGTAATCCTAGGTTTTCTCTTTCTTTTTCTAATTTCACGTTCCGGTTTTTTGAATGTTCTTGTTTACGTAATAGTAAAATAGAAATTGAAGAGAATATAGGGCTAATTTGTATTGTAGTTGAAGTTAACTCCACCGATTTGGTGGTTCATCGCAGTAGTGGAGTGGCAGAGGCTATTCTGGCAACCTCTTCACCACTTCGTTTTCTTGTTCCAGTTACTGTCGATGAGAGGGGGAGGAAGGCAGAAAGAAAACGACAACAGGGGGTGTTTGGGTTTCTTCGTGTGTCGTAAAAGAGTGGGAGAAAACAGAGGGGGCTGCTGCCCTTGGCTCGCCGGAAACCACCAACAAACACCTCTGGTGGGGGTGTTTTTGTTGCACCTCGAAGACAGGCGAAAAGGAAGGGGGTGTGAAAGGAAATGGAAGAATGAAAAATTGTATTTATCTGTGAATAGCAGTGTATTCATTTGTGAATAGCAGTGCATTCATGTGTGAATAACAGTGAATGAATAGCAGTGCATTCATGTGTGAATAGTAGTGTATTCATTTGTGAATAACAGTGAATGAATAGCAGTGCATTCATGTGTGAATAGTAGTGTATTCATTTGTGAATAACAGTGAATGAATGTATTTATTTATGATTAGAGGTATTCATTTATTCAATTTTGAATAACAGGGTACTTATTTCTTAATAGCACTGTATCCATTTGTGAATAACAGTGTAAGCATGTGTTAATGAGTATATTTATTTATGATTAAAGGTATTCTTTTTATGAAGAAATGATAATTTTTACACTCTTTTTATTTTCAAATGATAATTATTACTTGTAAATTGATGTGTATTTATTTGTGATTGGAGTAGTATCAGGTTTTTTGAAAAAAAAATATTTATGAATACAAATGTCCTAATTTGGTGTTCAATTTCTATTCATTTTTTGAACACAAAAAAAAAAAAAAAAAAAAAAAAACCGTGAAATAGGAGAAAAAAATTGATTTTTGTAAGAATTTTTTTTCAGTTTTAAAATAAATTTTGGTAAAAATGTTTTTTATATTTCATTAATAAGAAAAATAAAATTTTGAATATTTATTTCTTTTTTGGTAACTGATCCTAAATTTAAGGGAATTTGATTGAATTTTAGTTTATTTTAATTTAATTAAAATATACAATTACTAGTATGCCCTTTTAAATTGATTGATTCAGAATTGTTCTCGCGTTCTCAACCTTTTAGGTGTTCTTATTTGATCTCTCCCTATATATATATATATATATAGATATATATATATATATATATATATATATATATATATATATATTTTCTCACAATGCATTTAACTCTATCAAATTCAATAAAACAATTTTTAAATGTTCATTTAAGAATTAGAGAATTTCTTTAGTATTGCACTCCACATTCATATGAATGTCAGCTTCGTCTCGTATATGTGCATGGGGGACACCAAAACCACATGTAACAAACAATCATTCTTATGAAGAAACCGTGTTTGAGCACTAACCCACCATCCACAAAACAAACAAAACAGAATATAAACTGGTTGACCGATATGCACCTAAATAAAAACAAATATCTGCTAATGAAAATAAATAAAACATATGTAAAAATAATTTCCATCAACTCAAACTATTAAAAGTATTACTAATAACCGGCAGTAAAACCTTGATACACAATCACAAATACTCAAAATACCAAAATACTAACACTAACACTAACCATTTCTGTTCAAATTTTATTCTAATTCATATCCAACCTAAGGTTTGCATTTAGATCCCACCTCCCGTTTGATGCAGCATTGCATCAATTTCATCACCTTCCTCCATCTCAAGCTGTGTTTACAATAACAATCATCAGTATCACGAGCAGTTTTCCAAATCAAACAAAAAAAACATTGCAATTTAAATTACCTCATCAGGAGTTTGTTCAGCTCGAAGACGCCGCCCATCAAATAGAAAAGCAATAGAGTTCATCTCCAGTGATTGTCTATCACAATAGGCATTCATTAACTTCTTCAGCTGTGTGCTGCGCTTGATCCTAAAGAACACCTCGTTCCCTTCCTACAACAGCAACAAAACGAGAAAAATAAATCAACTACTACCCTGTTTACGTACCAAAACAGGACACATATCTTTCTACTGAAATGATAAATGTTTCACTATCTACTTTCGACTGTATCATTTAAGACGGAAAACAAGTTCTTATCTTAAAATCGATACGAACAAGCCGTTACAAACAGTAAAAGCCTACAATTATCAACGAACTGATCGAGTAAATGATTTAACCAAATCAAATAAACACCACAGGATTACGCAACCACGAATGTAAAAGTATATTGGCAGACTTAAAGTACGACCAAACACAAACAAACTACAAACACCAAAAAAAATCATACGCCTTATTACCTGACCCTTAACCTTGAGATTGATGTGCGCCGCCTGATCTATCGGCTTCTTCTCATCTTCATGAGTTAGTCCGCCGTCTCCTCCGTGTGCCGACATTTTTATCTATAAATTCTAGGGTTTGCGCACGGCTTGATTTTGGCTGTGAATGAGTTGAGAGATGTGATATCGAATAGGGAATAGAAAGGGCGGTTTATAGGGGGTTTTGAAAAACTATATTTAAATGTAATTTGGGTTCCGTATGGGATGAGGGAATTTTTTATTTTGACTTTTGCTTCTTTGATTTTTTTTGTGGTGGTTTTGTTGTTTCTTTTGAGTGTTGACCATTTGCAAAGATATAATGTAGGGCCCAAAAAAAGTATATATAACTCGAGACTTTTTTTT